GACAATTGGACTAACGATTCTACCATGTTGAAATTCAATCGTTAAAATTTACACTTCTTCTACGTGCATCACAAATAATTATTTTACTCTATGGTGTATTCTATTTGCTTTTGTACGAAAAAGGTTATCAAAAACACGATTCAACAGTAATATCGGCTGTTACATTGAAATTAAAAGGTATGGGTTATGTCAACAGATTAAATAGGAATGAACCAGTGGTTATTGATGGTACAGATTATACCATACCACCAGTAGAAAATGCTGCCGTATTTATTATGACAAGTTTTATACAAACACATCAAGTACGTACAAGATGTGAAGAATCAAGACATATTAAACAAGCATTCTGTACATCAGATGAACAATGTGCAAATGAATATCCTTATTCTAATAAAAGTGGTAGATGGACAGGAAATTGTTTGATTAAAACAAATGCGACAATAGGTTTATGTGAACTGGAGGGATGGTGTCCAGTTGAAGATGATAAACAAGGAAGGGATCATATTAATGATGCATTAAATTTTACAATATTTTTAAAAAATTTTGTTGAATTTCCAGAATTTGATGTTGTACGTAAAAATTTTCGTTCTTATATGACATCGTGTATATATAATAAAACGAATAAGTTATGTCCAATATTTCGTTTACGTCAAATAGTTGAAGCGGTTGAAAATGATGAAGATGAACGTGCGTCAATGTTAAAACATGGAGCTGTTATTAGACTTAAAATTTACTGGGATTGTAATTTTGATTTAAATGTGAGAAAATGTGTACCTGAATATTCATTTAGAAGAATAGATACAAAACACAAGAATGAAAATTTTTCTAAAGGATTCAATTTCAGGTATGTAATATATACGCAGAAAACTTGTTAAATTCTAGTCGTTAATCAAAACATTTTTTAACAAATTTGGATATGAAACTTGTCAGATTCTTATAAAAGATTTTTCACAAGAAAAATTTCGTAGAAAACAGTTCTTATCTAATCTTGTGTAAATTTTATAAGATTCTTATCACTTTTGTGGAAGCTTTTATATATAAAAACTAAACAAGAATCGGATAAGACTCTTGTGCGATGTTATAAAATTGCTCTAATAAAATTTTTCTTACATAATTCTTCATCAATTCGTTAATAAAAATTAATGTTTAAGAAGCATCCTTTAAGGATAATTCTTCTCCTATGACTTAGTTACAGAATCGTATCTAGTGGTCGTAGACAATGTATGTTTTACAGACTGATCTTCAAATGAACTTACACCATGAAAATTTATCTGACCTATGAAAAAAATATCTGAAAGTCATAAATTGAATAAATACTCAATCATATAGCTGACTACTATCGGTGGTAAAAATTTCAGTCGAACTTAGATTAACACAGAACGTTGTAATCAACAAATGCCTTTTTCTAAGATTTATATAGTAGCGCGTATATTTCTGTGAAGAAATATGCTTGATATAATAATTTGAGAATGATCTGTTCTAGAGAAAAATCTCTGCAGTACGAAACTGTGTGATTAGATAATTTTTTTGAAAGCTAGAAAAATAAGAAAAAACTCATTTGTTTTCAGATAAAAATTCTATTTCTTTGGACACGAAAGGCTATGAAGAGTTCAAGGGCGTCACACTTTTTTAGAGGACATTTTCGACAATATCGGTTTTGAACTGTATCTTCTTTTAAAAAAAAATGATGGTAACCTTAGATCCTCAAATAATATATCACCGTTAAATTACGGTGATTCTTCTTGTTGGATTAGTAAAAGTTATTGCATTTGTTCTTCATTAAGGTTTGTAAATAACTGGAAGGCTGATAATCGTTCGTATCGTATACTGAAAAAAGCATTTGGCTTAAGAATCATTATAAGTGTAAGCGGTGAAGGTAGAAAATTTGATTTAATTACGTTAACATTAAATATAGGAAGTATTATGGGCATATTTGGTGTAGCATCAATGATTTGCGAAATATTCATGTTACATCTGTCTAGTCACAGCGAGTTTTATAAAAACCTTGTTTTTGAAAATGTTGGCAAAATTGTAACGAGATTAAGTATAAACGGCAAGAAAAATATAGAGCAACCAAAAACAACAAATAATGCAACAACAACAACAACAACAGCAGCAACAGCAACAACACTAATAACAACAACAACAGTAACAACTAATGTTCACAATGGTGAATGTTTTGATAGTGATGATAAAAAACTATTACAAAGTACTATTCGTCCATTGATTGTAAGTAACAGTGAATAATTATAATAACGAATTAAAATTTATTATTATCTAGAATTTATATTTCACACTACTCTACACTACCGCGGGACAAAAAAATTTGTAGAAAAATTTAGTTGCATCGTTTCTTCCTTCACCCTCAAACTTTTCGCATTGAATTTGATACAAGTTTGCAGTCCATTGTCTATTCTATTGATTGGCAAACAAAAATTTTATCTAGTCTGTGATAGGTACAGATACCAACGTTTCCTCGTCAGAATATATATGGGAAAAGACGCTAAAAGTTTTCGATGCATGTGTTTCTTTGTTTTATTTCTCCATGAAATAAAAACCTTTTATAAACTTATTATATAGCGATATGTTCGTTATCGTCAGACAAGAGCTATCTCTTCATGCAAAAAATGTCAGTCTGTGTCTTTCATAGTAAGCAAGAAGCTTTTTTACAGACTGACTTTAAGTAATAACGAAATATTTACTTCTATGTCTTGGTCAAAACATATTTTATCCAAACAAAAAACTTTTGTACTATGTAGACAATTTATTTGGTTTTCACTATAAAAAATCCTTTATTTTTTTCTATACTCGTCTTGGAAGATGGACGAATTTATCTGTCATATGTTAAGTCTAAAGAAACATTTTACTATCTACAGGACAAGGACACAGTCATTGTTTTGTTTTGCAAATGCTACAGCTATACAGAGCATAGTGATTCTTATATAAAGAAGTATTTTTTGGATTGAACCACCATACGAATAATGATCAATACCGATAGTAAACCATCAGCTGCACTTTTGGCCAGAGTTCACTATTCTATTCTCTAAAACAGACTCACAGATGTGTGGACTAACATCTTACACTTAAAAAATATGTTTAAGAGCTTTTCTCATCTTGTTTGTCCTACGTGTACATTTTGACGACATTAAGATAGACGTTAGTATCCGTGCCTATTACAGACTAAATAGAACTTTTGTTTATCAATCAATAGAAGAGACAATGGACTGCAAACTTGTATCAAACTCAATGAGAAGAAGTTTGAGGTATGCGGGAGTAGAGATGTACAACCCGACTCGACCCGAAGGATGGGTACGGATAGAGCAGTTAGGGGGTACGGGCTCCGTTTTATTAAAATTTATCCGAAACCTGGAATGTTTTAGCGAAAAACTACAACATTTTAATACATTTTAGTGAAAAAATTCAAGATTTTAGCTAAAATACATTTCGGAGAACGGTACTCGTGCACACCTCTATGCGGGAGAAACGATACGAGTAAATTTTTCTACAAACGTTTTTGTAGAGACAAATGTCCATTTTGTTTTTTTCGTATGAAAATCTTGTTTTGAAAAGAACTTATCGAAAAGATTATGTCTTGCAACGGTTAATCAACGATCTAAATAGTCACAGTCAGACAATAATCAGTGTTTCAATTCACTTTAAAGTTGTATATATTATTTTATCTTTCAATCGAAGCTATAGAAAAACACATATCCTATGTAGATCTATCAACTGCTTGGTAGTCACATTATTGCTAAATGAATCTTTGAATAAGAATTTTATGGTGTATATAGGATTCACGATTATTTTTCAGAAGGAATCGCTCTAGAAACTTTTCAGAAAATGGTTCTCAAACCTTAGCAGGACGTAGTGAAATATTGTAAATTTATTTTAAGAAAATATTTTTCTAAAAGCTTTTCTTTAAAAATCATGTATTTTGATCATTGATCATATTTTTATTAATTTATGAACATAACAAGAGAAATAAAATTTATATTTACTAAATTATGTAATGATTGCAATTATTCACTTATTAAAGATTCATGTGCTTGTTTATTTTTTCGAGATGATTTTTGTCAAGTACTGGTTTCCTATATTGCTTTTAATTAGGTAAGGTACAAACATTGTTTGAATAAAAGTTAGTTTGTTCAACTATAGATACGATTTTTTTTTATTATAATTTCTCTTACATCTATATCATTTTATTTATAGGTTTGTCAGTACTATTAAACAATGTCATGTATTCTCTCTCGAGTTATATGAGTATACAATACATCATAGGATAACTACAGTTTATATAAAGACCGCACGCAATACTCTTTCTCATGTCAACACGATTTGTCAAGGGAGAAATAGCACTTTTTTCCCTAATAACACTTTCAAAACTTTTCAGCATCCACCAATTTTGATCTAACGATAAGAATAGTCTGACATATATTTATTACCCCAAAATATACTCTTTAATAAGAGAGAATGTCAGACTATAAGTTTACGCTAAACAAAAATAAAACATATTCCATTTTGATTTTCCATAATTGATGTTGATCGCCCATCTATTTTACATGTCAGCACCTTTCAACACCCAAAACACTATTAAGCTTGGAATCAAAAAAGAATGTTTGATTTATTTCCAAAAGAAAAAACTAAGTTAAACACTAATAGTAACAAGAAAATTTAACAAAATGAAAATAGAATAAATCTACAGGAAAACAATATAACAATTTTAGTCATCAAAAATATAAATAATGAAAAAGTCATATAAAATGAAATGTGTAAAAGGAAAATAGTTTCTACTTGCACAATGAACGAAAAATACCGACGTCTTGATTTCTGAATCCAATATAAATTACGTCACAATAGCCAAATGGAAAAATTGATAAAAAGTTTCTTACATTCCACTGTTATAGTAAACATGGCATAAAAATTAATTTAATAAGTCTCTAGTTATTATATATTTGACAGGACTTTGTTTAAGGGGGAAAAGGCGGCTGCGGGATCCATGCGGATCTACGCGGATCCATGCGAATATAATTTTATTGAACCGAATTGTCCCAGAAATCTCTGTTCCCACAAGCAAAACAAAACTGTTCTGCCTGTGGGAAAGGAATTCACAGAACAGAACACAATTGTCCCGTTATCCAGAAAATTTTCCCAATAAAAAAACCGCAGTGTTCTGCTTCGGGAACACGATTGTCCTGTTTCGCGACTCGGGCTGTTCTGTTTTGGGAACAGGATTGTTCTGTTTTAGCGGAAGAATATTGAGACGGATCCGTGGGGATCTTGGCGGATCTACGGGGATCCCGGATCCGCCTTTTCCCCCTTGACTTTGTTTCATATTACAAACAAGGTGTGTGCAGTGTGGTAAATACGGGTTAAACATTAGGAGGATGTAAAATTGAATGTATCTTCGACACAGTGCGAATGAAATCAAGATAGTTAATGAAGTAGAATTCATAGAGATACTGTGCAAGAAAAACTAATTTTTTTAATAACCTTCCCTGGAAAACACTGACAAAAATTTTCGTCCGTACTCTTCCAATACTTGTGACCCTGAGTGTGTGTATATCAATATTTTTGGTCTTACCATATAGATCTACGATAAGCTAAAGAGATTGTGTTGCTTGTATGCAAAAAAGTGACCTGTCACTTGATATAGGCGACGGAGGTGCATTTTTGAAAAACCATGCACCCACGGTGCTTTCAAGATAATCTCGTTTTCTTCATTGATGGATAACTTTTATGTAAAAAAAGCGTCAGGCTGCCTTCATAATGTTGTTGAAGTCCGATTTTATGCACGCACCATGACTTAATAAGACATAACGGATATCTGGTTTATGAACATTGAGTACGTTCACATATGTAAACTCGGCACACTTCTCGTGCATAAAGTAAGGCACGCTAGTACATAAGAGATACGATGAATGCCTTGAAGAGATCAGAGTCAGGGTTCCCGATCAGGGGAGGGGAGCAGGGGGTGCTGATCCCTAAAAAATTTTTTGGACTTTCTGCTAAAATTGTTGACATTTTTCCACCATAAACTTTCTGCCAGAAAATTTCGAAAACTTTTTTTGCGTCAGCCACTTTCTGCGAAGCAAAGTTTTTAGCCTCTCTCATCCCTAAGAACAATCAGAAACCCTGATCGGAGTGCCTGAATTTTTACATCTGTTAACGCTACAACTATTCTCATCAAAAACAAATTGGACTAACTTTAGAAAATCTGATTTTTCCACTCCCAAGAACAAAAAAAGCAACTAGTATCGAATGCTGCACATAAAGGGGCAGCCGAGTTCATAGAACTCTATATTGATGAAATTTTCCAGGTTAGTAGAAAGAATTCAAGAATTAGCATCGAGTTTTTTTTCCAGTTTCTGAAATTTCAGAAATTTTAAATTAGTCATTCCACGAATTCAGAATTAGCATCAAGTATTAAGAAATAAAAATCAAGCTTTTTCTTAATTCAAAGAATTCAAGAATTCATAAATTGAATTCATCTTTTTCCAATTCGAGACAGATTCAACAATTCAAGAATTG